TGAAATTAGAGCTAAATTACTGAAAATTTCATCAAATGAATTTCCCTGATAATGATGAAGACTGATAACCGAGATTCGACTTCCATTCTTTAAATATATACTTTTCAATTTAACAATATTACAGTTACAATGCCAATTAAGTTCACCTCTGAACACGTACAAACATTGGTGCAATGTTCATTCTTGTCCATGGCATAAAATTTTGTTTGAACACATTTATGTAAGGGAATTGAAATGGAAAAATTGTTCAAGGCAGAAACATTGACTAAAATTCTCTTGTACTAATATAAAATATTAATCAGAAATTGAATTTCTACTTTTGGATATATTACAGTTCCCTGCATGGCGGAAGGAGATGGGTGAGCTATTGCGCACCCATCTCCATTGCTATTGGCCTGCTTCAGCCAATGATCTTCAGGCACCAGTTTGCGTCACAATATTAAATGCAGCCAGAAAGCAAAATTACAGCCTCGTTAAAACTCGTTAAAAAAGATTGCATCTTTTATTTCAATTACACCTTTATCGTGTTATTTTTCGTCGAAAATTGTCACTTATTGCCACTTTCAAAATGTTTTTCATAACTTCTCGCTCTTCGTGCAACACGGCGGCTAAAGTCTAGTCTGGCGATTCAAACGAAGTGCCCTGTCTTGTGGTCACGTGGTTCGTGACGCAAACTGGTACTGCGCAGAACGAGCAAAAATCGGTGAGCCGGACTAGCTCACCCACGTCTTTCCACTCTGGGTCCCTGTACTTACTTCCTCTGCCCCTTCCCCCTCGCCCCCTTCCAGGTGGTCTGCCCCGTCCCCGCTGGGCCGGCCGGGAGGCTGCCTGGGCAGCTATCGCAAATGGAGGTGGATTGAAGAACGAGGCTGGGGAGGAAGACATTTTTCACAAACAGTCCAAGCACATTTCCCAAAGCACATCACACCAGAAAAAGAGAGATCGAGTTACAAGTGCAACACAAAACACATCGGTCAAAATACATTTTAATACAGTATATTTGTACTTCTTGGTAACATAACACACTACAGTCAACTCCGGTTATAGTGAACTTCTGTGGACTAACATTTTTGGTTCACTATATCTGAGGTTCGGAATATCCGATGTCAAAATTAAATGGAACTTTTCCATCACGATTGATTTTATTAATATAAAGATACAGCACAATACGTTAACACGAACTGAAAATTCGAATATACTCATTTGTTTTTAAAAAATCAATTATTTTTAATTGTTTGCCATTAGTAATTCCTCTAGAACCTTCTCCCGAGTTCGAGCTCTCTCCGTACTTCATTCTGTATTGTGCTCTGTACCTAAGTATCGTAATGCGGTCTTGACACTCTTCAATGGCTCTTGCACTGTTGGTACACTGTCTCACTCTCCGAAGGCCCCTTTACTCGTCTAATGACATACGAGATGCTTTCGGTAACGAGATGGCGCAAGCGGCTAATAAAACTGATCGCTTTTCCGCGCGGTGCGGCGGATATCGCCAGGTTGCGTCAGTCACACGCTTCCTGTCGCCTACGTAGAACTGCACGCGCTTTGCCCCGCGGACTATCAAGTAATGACAACCGAGATTGAAACTAAAGTAAGCAATCGCGCGTTGCCGCCGCCAGTGGCAGCCCATGCAGGACACGGCCTTGCGTCTGCAGTGAAATCGAGTGGCATAAGGTCATCAGTAAGGTGCACATTCACGGCCCGCCACCTTCACCTCAGAAGAGACTTCTTCGATTATGACATTTGGACGACATTTTTTTCAAGCCGCTTAGAAATGGAATTTGTAGCACTGAGGCGATACTTAATTTTCCAAGACGTATTTCCTACGTTTGCTTTAGCGTTCAGGTTCAGGCTTTAGCATATAGCCGAATATTCTTATGCTTACTTGAAATGTAAGTGAAACGGGACCAGTGACTTAATTTCACTGTAACCGAGTGTTCACTAGTTCAGAGTTCACAACAAACGGAGACGAGTGTACATCGTCACAACAAAAACGTCAATTTTTAAGCATCTTCATAATAATCTTCCTCACTTTCTTTGGCATTGACCGCAAATTATTTCATCGAAGAATGTTGGTGTAAATACGTTTTTCCGAAAGTGCTGTAAAGTAAGTTTTCACACAATTGTTTATTCAAAGCCTACATGGCTGAAAGCAATTCTTTAACATTACAACACACACCAGTGCACAGGAGACAGCAATAGATGGAAGAATGGCAATCCGCGATTGTCTACGAATGTGCCTCTTATTTCCAAAATATTGTGTCACTTCGTTACTTGGGATATCACATGACCTACAAAATCACAACAGTGCGTAAGTGATTTTGACAATCAGTAACTTCTATCTTTCCACTCTTGCAGAAACTTGCAGGGTCGAGGGTCAAGCTTGCGGGCGAACTACACTTGAGATTTCTAACGATTTCTACCCTTTGCTAGTGGTGCCGTGGTGAGTATATTATGAAATAAAAAATCTCCAAGAAACGTTATATGTCGTTTCTATCGTTTCTTTTAATTTTCCTTTTGTGGTTTTGACTCATGTTAACTGACACAAAAGGTCATCAAACTTTTTGGAGATAATAATGAATATCAACAAACTGTTTCGTTTCAAAAAAAAAATAGCTTAGCGAGGCAAATAAAACTTTCCACACCTAGTATATGTCTAAAATATATTGCGAAACCCTTAACCTGACGTATCAATACCGAAGCGCAGTTCAGCTAGTTAGGGATGTGCCATCGCCGACTCAGTAGAGTAGGCAATGGATCAGGGTTACCTAACAATGTTCCCGAGTGGAAGATATTTTACTTAAAAAAGGATGACACTTCAATGTAAAGAAAGACATTTCACATTTTTGTACTATATAAATGATATTAATAATAAATATTTTTTTGAAATTGCCACAGCCAGCACAATCTGGCGGAGGCAATTTCTGGCGGTACCATGGAAGCAAAATCACAGTGCATTTTTGTGTGCAAAGTTAGATTGTGCAGTTCCGTGCAGTTTGACGACGCATTTGTGTTTTTCGATGTATTTCCACCATTGTCCAAATAATATTTGCCTACTTGACAGTTGGGGTGGGGGATAGAGCGATGTTGCCACTGACTGGGGCGGCAGATACGTGGTTGTGTGTTCGTTCTTGCATCAGATCCCAGCAGTAGACAACACTGAACAGCACACACGATGCATAAACAAATTAATGGCGCTCTTCAATTTACAGTTGCTTCGCACTATATGAAATTTAATTTTTTTTTTCCTTTTACCAAGCAACGGCAACTCTGCAGTGACATCACAATTTGAAACCTCTGATAGGATAACGAGAGTTGTCAAGTAGGCAGAAGTATTATTTGTGGTATACACTTCAGAATTGGAACGTAATTTTCAGGTTGGCAGCAACGGTGATCGCAGTGATCATGGCAAGCTAAGGCTGGCAGCAGGGGGACAAGCAAGGCAGCACAGAGAGGGTGGAAAGGGTAGATTTGGGCAGATCGGCGTAAGGCATAGCAAGCCAGGCCGGGGGTAAATTATTGGCATAAGTCATTCCGTTTCCTGTCTGAATAAAATGAAAATGAATTAGGAACTTCCGAGGCCGTAAAAACTACCCGTGAAAGTAAAGGCTCGGTTCGAGTTCGAGTTCTGCATAAGCGTGGAGGTAGCGTTTTGTGCAGTGGCACGCTTTGGGCTTTTCAAAACCTCTGGGAATTAACTTAGGTGGTTCAGGACATCAAAAGAATTTGTTGAAAAAACGAGTAGTTTTCATGTAATTTCTGCTTGAAATTAATGCAAGTTATAAAAAAAACGTTTCCTCAAAAACCGCTCCCATGGAAAGCATTTCTAGTTTTTGCTAACGCGAGTAATCGCAAATTATTTCTCAAATTAATTATGACGACAGATTCTACTGAACAAACTTGGAGTTGCGTAATAAAATGTTGTTCACCTTATCAACATACGAAAGATAAACTGTAATCAGAATGATTAAATGAGCAGGCATTCTTTGACTTCTGCAGAAATCAATTGAATAAACTGTCGCACACAGATAATTCATGGCAGATAAAAACGGAGGCTCTATGGATTGTTCAAGTCGTGATAGCGATACAAAGGCAATGCATGACAAGGAATTCAACATAATTGGTATTGTAAATTTTGTAGTTCTTTTGAATTTTTTGCTCGAATACACTGCTTATTTAGTAGTTTCGATTGTATTACTGCACCTCTTATTATATGTGATAAAACATCGGCCTGATTTAAAATGCATACAATGACTGATGTTAGTATGCCAACTTTGGTGTAGAAACCATAAAGAACAATATCAATATTTTTTTATAAGCACTTAAAAAATTTGGTAAAAATATTAAAAAACGGTTTTAGTGGGGTTTTTGTGGTAATAAATATAGCTATAATTACTAATTAAGTGGTGATTATACAAATAGCATTAATAACATTTCATATAATATATTCCCTTTGCAGTATCAGTCATGTTTACTTTTATATTTTTGCTGATTTCTTTACAATAATATTACTACTTGGACATCTTTTACCTGAAATTAAATATATCCATTACAAAAACAAATCATTAAATATCATAGTAAAGAAGCGAAAAGTAGAATATTTGGCACAATTTGTGCAATGAAAGCCCAAGTTTTTAGTCCTAAAAGAACTCTATGAAATACCCATTCTTGAAGCTGTGAAATCCAATATTCAATTATTCATGTACTGTTAGACTTGAGCTAGACTGATAAGTTTGAAAAATCTGAATTAAAAAAATAAAAAAATAATTTAAAAAAATAAAGATTAAAAAAGTGGACATCGATGATCATTGGGTTCTTAATTATAATTTGTTATATTTTCTTTCCTAGAAATCAATTCACTAGAACACAAGAATGATTTAATTGTACTATAAATATAAATGAGTTGACAATTTTCAACACATTCATAGAGTATTGAAGAATCCATGAAAATTTAGTGGATTGTTGGTCACCAACAATAATAGATCTAGAATATTTTAACTTACCATTTGACAAAGGTGCAGCATTTGGAGGAAGTATCTGGATATTGGGATGTATATCTACAGCTGGTCTCTGTTCTAGGTCACTGTTATTTAGAGAAACGTTTAGTCTGTTTTCTGTTCCATTGGTTTGGGGTACACGTTCTTGAGGAACACTTAACACACGTAACCTTTGAGTACTATCTACAGAATTTAATACATTTGGCACTGATCCTTGCAACGCAGATACAATAAACGGTGAAGTTTGTGAAATTGTTGGCACTGAAGTCGAAGAAGTAACTATTGCCTGACTACCTTGGAAAGTTGTAGGAAAAGTGATGGTAACAGGAACTGTCTCAGTGGTCCCATTAGTAGACACAGTAGTGGCAGGAATGACAATAGCACTGGGTTCATTTGCATCACTTTCGTTCATGGGGCTACTCATTTCACTCCCCTGATTTGTCTGCCTTGAAATAGTGATTTCCAAATCTCCTCCACTAGTAAGTTGCTTAAGTAAAGGATCCATACGTTCAGGAATATTACCGAGCTGTCGGGTAGACACAATCACAGGGGCTCTGTTTTGCTGTACTGGGGCAATGCTTCCGGTGTTAATTACAATACTTTGAGAAGGCCCTTTTGATGAACTGTTTTCATCAGATCCGCCAGTTACTTGAACTGACGATTCACTTGGACTGGAAAAGAGCAAAATATTATCAATAAAAGTATTACAACATAAGACAAATATAAGATATAACAAATATAAATTCTAATTAACTATGAAATGATGAAATTATCAATTCAATGAACAAATTGTAATGTTTTGATGAAGTCAAATATAACACTATATTACTTAACAAAAATAAGTTGAACATTATTGTATAATAAAATATTAATATTATTCATTAATAATAATAATAATAATAATAATAATTATTATTATATTATTATTATTATGAATATTAATTATATTATTATGAATATAATAATAACAATAACAAGGAAAAGGAAGAATAAGAAGAAGACAAACAGGAGAAAAAGATCAAGAAGAAGAAGAAGAAATACAATATAACAAACAATTAAAACAATACTTTTTGCAAAGAAACACTATACTACTATATTGTGAACTTCTTTCCCAAATCTCTCTTGCCGAAAATTTGTTTTTATAAGAAACACTACGTCCTGTTGCTTTCACTACAAGCAAAAATCAAACAGAAATTAATGCTTTTGGCGTTTTCACTCAGAAACTCCTTTAGTAGGAAATTGTTATTGTTGGCTGTTGATGTCTAATAATTTTTAACAAGCTACTTTTCCAAAATACGGTATTTCTTGTAAACAGCTTTCCTTTTGCTTTACAAGATATATTTAATAGAAAACTAATAGAAGCAAGTTCCATTGTAACAGCACATCTTACAGAAAATTAATTTTTGGTTTGGATCAACTATCAGTTGAAGATTTTGGAAGTACAAAAATTACTCTTAAACTTTATGTGTTTTTTTAAGATGAATTTTGTTGAAGTTTAAAAGTAAAAACAATGAATAAATTGCATTTGCATTGGATTGTAATTTAAATGTTACTTATTGCAATTTGTGTCCAGCCTGATATTACAGTGTCTAGAAAAATCAATAAAACCTAAAATTGGCAAAACCTTCTATTCAAAAATCCTAAAACAACATTTATAAAATCCATAATATCTGACATTAGCTATTACAGCTCATTATGGAAACTCAAAGGGAAAGTGAGTATTGTTTAAAATTAAGTTGAAATGTATGTGTACTGGAATTAGCAATAGATACAATAAATTTTGATTAGAAAAAAGTGGATGTAGACTTTCCTGGTTCATTTGGATTTAATTATGGAAAAATTAAATCCCAAAATTAATTAATTATGGACATTTTTTACTCAAGCTCAAACACCATGTGAATTCACTCTTAGTTTAAAAGGAAAAAGTTCAGAGACCAGTGAGATTTGGAAAGAATGTTGATTAATATATTCCAATCATTTGTAACTATAGGGCAGTCCTTACCCATTAGTTTTGCTACCATCTTCATCACTGATGACCTCTTTCGTTAGACTAGAACTCTGTGTTTCAGTAGAAGAACGTTTTACATGGGGCTTATTCATGGGCACACCACCACTTCGTATTTTTTCCTCAAGCCAATTGAAACCTGGAATCTCTTGTGCCAAACGACGGCCCTTTTCTTGCATTTGATGGGAGACAAACTGTTTAGATACTTCTTCTACAACCGATTGTTCTCCTGTGCAAATCGAAAGGCAAAATAAAATTCAAAAGGACTTTTTAACATTACGAATAATAAACGAGTTTCAATAATGCTCCTGAGAGGTTAATAAAACTTGTTAATACATACTTACAATAGTTATTAAATTTTAAAAAGATTTTTTTTGGCAAACAAGTGGTGAGAATCAATAATACTAATGTTCCACTAAACATAATTTCCAATTTGCTTGCACTGAAATATAATCCCCCCAAAAAAGAAAACAAGATATTACCTAGTGATTTTCTCTTCTTTCTCTTGGAATCCTTCAAGCCTTCATCTTTTTCCTCTTTCTCATCCTTTTCTTCGACACTCATTTCATTCCCATGGGGTTGTTGACTTTCGTCGGACGCATCTGATGCTGAACGACACACCTTTTTCAATTTAAGGAGCTCACTGTGCTCAAGAGAATGTCTTCTCTTCCCTTTTGAAACTTCCTCGTTTCTAGTTTCACTAGAACCTTCATTCCCAGAACTTTCCTTTTCAACACAACCTTCATTAACACTTCCAATGTGTTTGTCCGCTGAAGCCCCGGAAGATTGAGTTGTAGCAGAAAGACTTTTCTCTTGCTTTTCAGCCGAGAGACTTTTCCTCCGGTACATCCAGGGAGGTGGGGTTGGTTTCACACTACTAACTTTAAACATTTTTATATTATCATGTCTAAAGTTTCTTCTTGATGGACGAAGTTTTCTACTTTTTAGTGGAATTCCAACATCATCATTTTTCACAAGCTTCCTCTTGACAGCAGATGGTTCTGTAACAACACTTTGTTCATTGCCAGACTCCAAAACTTTCTGACTTTCAATTTCTTCACTAACAACTATTTCCTGTATAGAATCAGTCTTCTCATTTAACATTGTATAATTTTCCTCATGAGGTTTGGCACTGTCCCCTTCCAATACTGAAGTTGTACTATCTCCAGTTTCACTGTCTGACCTGATACTTAATTCCTTATCTTTCATTATCTGCTTATCTTGTGTACATTCACTACCAGATATCATTTTCTTATCTTCAGAGGATTCTGTAGACTTCTTCACATGAGATGCTATACATTTTGGACTCTGTATTACATGAACTCTAGAAATGGAATTTGTAATAGAATCTGCACCTTTTTTCACATTTGGTGATTGATTAGATTCAAGTTCATCATCACTGAGCTCTATCACATCAATAGTTCTCTTGTTTTCTGGTTCTAAGTTCTTTTTGATAGAATTTTGAAATTTACAATTTAACAGTTCTAGAGAATTTTCTGCTTTTGCCTTGGGAGAGATTTCAACTTCCCTTATAACTTTTTGTTCATTTTCATCACCTGAGAGTCTGTCTTCATCAATTTTCAGTTCACCTTCATTATCTTCATCATCTTCATATTCATTATTACAGTTATTCTCTTTTATGAAATCCTGGTTACCTGTTTCAAGTTCTTTTTTCCTATCACCATTTGCCTGGATGACTGCAACACCTCCGGTGACATTTTCTGGAACAAATGGATTTTGATTACAGTATGATAAAATATGAATTGTTGGAGAAATTTTAAACAAGTACTGTTTACTCTGATCCTCAATGTTTTCAAAAGATCTTTTGTTAATTGATATATTCCGATTAGAAGACATATTAGATATATTTGAGTCTTGTCCTAATTTATTATAGTTGCGCAAAGCTATATGATTTGGTTCTAGAAGCTGAACTTTTAGTTTTGCAGGAATGGAAATTGTCTTTTCCTGACGATTACTTGCAGTGACACTTGCACAATTTTTTAGATTATTGTTAAAGATTATTTCTTGTTGGTGCAAGTGATTGCAGAAATTGTTAAATGTATATTTAACACTATCGGAACAGAGCAAACTATCAACAGATTTTGAACTTCCAAGAATATTACCTTCACCACTTTTGATTTCTGTTTCAGAAATGTCTTCACATTCACAATCTTTACTCTGAATATTGCTTGAATCTGAATATGAAGAAGTGTCTCTTGAGTTGATGTCATCTTCATCAAGCCTTTTAGGGTTTTGTACAATACTAGTTTTTTCATTAATATCACAAACTGTATCCCTTCTAGAAATTACTTCACATGTCTCATTTGTGTTACACATATCTGAAATAGATTTGGTTAAAGTATTTATAGAGTCTTTTACAACACATCCATCTGTAACACTATTATCATGACTACTATCTCCTGATATGTTCAGCTGAGTTTCTTCATCATATGAAATATCAACATTTGCTGTATCTTTATCACTTTGAGTATCTTTAACACCAACTGATAACACAGCCTTAGATTGTGTCTCAAAGTCACTTTTGTTATGTTCCTGACAAACACCTGTGTTGTCATCACTCAGATACCCAACTTCATGCATAGTTTTGGAACATTGCCCTAAATCTACTAGCGTTTCACTTGGTTCACTTAGTTTACTTCGTGATTTACAATTAGTGTCACGATTACAATTTTCACAACCAACAACTTTCCAAACACTATTTGCCCTGGTGAACTTCAACCTTTGAAAATAATTACCCACTTTACTTTCCACCACACGTTTGTCAACAGCATTAAAATCACTGTCTGCGTAAGTCCAGCTACTTGCACGTTCTTTTCTTCGTAATTGAATTACTGGAAGAGGAATACTAAGTTCAGGTGCAGACTTCCTTCTTTTCTCAATTGAAAGAGACTTACAGGTGCAGGAATCACCAGTTGGAATGTCTTCTTTGTTAAGGAAAAAATTTTCTCCTGAAGGGCCAGGTTTGGACGGACATGTTTGTGAAGTTAATGAACACTGAGAAGCAGGAGGAGGGGTTGGTGGTGAATAAGGAGGTGAAGGCGACGGTAAAGATGGAGGAGTGTGAGGACTACGCATAGGTGGAAGAGGTGGTGATGGGGAAGATGCAGATGAAGGGGTGGGACGACTTTGGTATGCTGCAGAATGTAATGACGGCGACTGCACAACCGAGGAAAAAACGGAAGTAATAACTGCTGGAGATAGTGAACACAAAGAAGAGGAACAAGGAGATCTAGCAGAAGTCTGAATAGGAGGTGAACTTGAGGGAGGTAATGGTTGAGGAGTATGTGTAGGAGATTCATATTGTACAGATGATGTTGGTGTTTGTAAGGTAGGAGGAGAGGCAGAAGGACAAGGAGGAGAAGTAGAAGGGCAAAGAGGAGGTGTGGTAGAAGAGCAAGGAGGAGTGGTAGAAGGATAAGGACGATCGGTGGAAGGACAAGGTGAAGGAGGGGTGGTATAAGGACAAGGAGGAGGAGGAGAAGGAGTGGAAGAAGAGCAAGGAGGAAGGGGAGGAGATAATAAACAGCAAAGAGTTAAAGGCCCGCCAGAATCTACTAGTATGGAAGAAGACTCGTCTTCCACAGCAGGCGGAGGCCGAGGAGAAACAGACGAGGAGGGCGAAGAGCGAGTTGAGGAGGCAGAAGAGGGCGGCGAAGGCGAGCATCGAGCAAGCGCAGGCAGCGGTGAAGAACAAGGCACCGGCGGCGGCGGCGGGGGCGGGGGCGTGGGAGAATTAAACATCCTCTTCAACTCCACCTCGATCGGATCTGAAATGCTCACGTCCAGGTCTGGCTCGGATTTCACTAAGGTCACTTCTTCCCCGCGGTGCCCGGCGGCGTCGTCGTCGTGGTGGTCGTCGCCGTCGTCGTGGTGGCGCAGCCGCTCGCAGAGCGCTCCCCCGAGGGACCCGGCTGCCGGCCGCGCCACCACGTTGGGCGCAAATTGTAAAACAACGCCGTTTTCGCGCGCGAATCGTGGCCCGCGGTGGTGGGGCGGCTCGCCGTCCTCGGGGTCGCTGATGTCCTCGTAGATGGGTTGAGGAAGGTACTCGGGGTCGAAGCCCATGAACTGCGACGAGTCGCTGGTGCTCCCGCACAGCGATGTCGAGTCGTCGTCTCGGGAGCGCAACATCTGCGGCGGCGGCGGCGACGGCGACGACTCGGCCTCCGGGCGCTCGGGGTGGTCGTGGTGGTGGTGGTAGTCGTCGCTGTACGCCGAGGGCGGCGGCGACAGCTCCATCTTCACGTGCACCGGCAACAGCACGTCTTGTATGCCGTACGGCGGGGCCATGGCGGCGGCGGTCTGCGCGACCTGCGGTGGCGGCGAGCGGGGCGCGTCAGTCGGCAGCGGCAGCTGGCCCTCGATTGGCAGCGGCGCGTCCCCCAGCAACACCAGCGGCTTGCGTTCTATCTCTTCCTCCTCCTCCTCCTCTGCCGCCGCCCCCTCTCCGTCTTCTGCTTCTTCCTCTTCCGCCTTGTGTGTAAAGCGCGCGAGTGTGTGTAAGGCGCGAAGAGTGTGTGTAAGCGCGCGAGTGGTGTGTAACGCGCCGAGTGTGTGTAAGCGGCGTTACGCGAATGTAGGCCAGTTGTTGGGAGTGTTAAGCGCGAGTTGAAGCCGCCAGTGTGTGTAAGCGCGCGAGTGTGGTGCGCGGGTGTAGATGTAGCGCGCGAGTGTGTGTAAGCGCGCGAGTGTGTGTAAGCGCGCGAGGGTGTGATGTAAGCGCGCGAGTGTGTGTAAGCGCGCAGAGTGTGTGTAAGCGTCGCGAGTGTGTGTAAGCGAGGGAAGCGCGCGAGTGGTGTGTAAGCGCGCGAGTGTGTGTAGCGCGCGAGTGTGTGTAAGCGCGCGAGTGTTGTGTAAGCGCGGCGAGTGTGTGTAAGCGCGCGAGTGTGTGTAAGCGCGCGAGTGTGTGTAAGCGCGCGAGTGTGTGTGTAAGCGCGCGAGTGTGTGTGTAAGCGCCGCGAGTGGTGGTGGTAAGCGCGCGAGTGTGTGTAAGCCGCGCGAGTGTGTGTAAGCGCGCGAGTGTGTGTAAGCGCGCGAGTGGTGGTGTAAGCGCGCGAGTGTGTGTAAGCGCGCGAGTTGTGTGTAAGCGCGCGAGTGTGTGTAAGCGCGGAGTGTGTGTGAGCGCGAGTGTGTGTGAAGCGCGAGTGAGTTGGAGCGGCGAGTGCGTGTGCGCGGCGGTTGTGCGGGTGGCTGCGGGCGTGTGCGGTGATGCGAGTGTGGCGAGTCGCGAGTGTGGATGGAGTGCGAGTGTGTGTGCGAGTGCGAGTGTGTTGTGCGGAGTAGTGCGGTGCGAGTGTCGTGTGCGAGTGCGAAGTGTGTGTGCGAGTGCGAGTGTGTGTGTGCGAGTGCGAGTGTGTGTGCGATGCGAGGCTGGCGAGTGATCGTGCGAGTGCGATGCTGTGTGGTGCGGCAGTGCTGTGTGCAGTTGCGAGTGTGTGTCGAGTGCGAGTGCGTGTGCCGAGTGACAGGATGGTGCGAGGATCGCGAGTGCGATGTGGCGAGTGCGAGTGTTCGAGTGGCACGAGTGCGAGTGTGTTGTGCGATGCTGGGCGTAGTGTGCGTTGGTGTGTCTAGTTAGTTCGCGAGTGTCGAGTGTGCTGTTTGCAGTGCGAGTGTGTTGCGAGTGTGAGTGTGCGGAGTGCGAGTGCGGAGTGTGTGTGCTGATGTGCGAGTGTGTGTTGCGAGTGCTGAGTGTGTGTGCAGTTGCGAGTGTGTGTTGCGAGTTGCGAGTGTGTGTTGCGAGTTGCGAGTGTGTGTTGCCGAGTCGAGTGTGTGTGGCGAGTTGCGAGTGTGGGTTGCGAGATGCGAGTGTGTGTGCGAGTGTGTGTGCGGAGTGGAGTTGGGTGTGCGAGTGCGAGTGTGTGTGCGAGTTTTGGGCGAGTGTGTGTGCGAGTGCGAGTGTTGTGTTGCGAGTTAGCGAGTGTTGTGTGCGAGTGCGGAGTGTGTGTGGAGTGCGAGTGTGTGTGCGAGTGCGAGTGTTGGTGTGCGAGTGTGTGTGCGAGTTGCGGCAGTTGTGTGTTGCGAGTGCGAGTGTGTGGCGAGTGCGAGTGTGTGTGCGAGTTGCGGGGTGATGTGTGCGAGTTGCCGAGTGTGTGTGCGAGTGCGGAGTGTTGTGTTGCGAGTTGTGTGCGAAGTGTGTGTTGCGAGGTGTGTGTGCGAGTGGCGTGTGGCGAGTGGCGTGTTGCCCAGTGGCGAGTGCGGAGTGCGAGTTGCGAAAGGTGCGGAGGTGGTTGGCGAGTTGCGAGTGGGTATTTGCGAGTGCGAGTGTGTGTTTTGCGAAGTGCGAGGTTTGCGGAAAGTGTGTTGGCGAGTTTTGCGGAGTTTGTGTGTTG